CAATAAATCAAAAATCAGCCGGGGCGTGGTAGCGCGTGCCTGTAATTCCAGCTACTGGGAAGGCTGAGGTGGAAGGATCTCCGGAGCCCAGCAGGTCGAGGCTGCGGTGGCCGGGAGCGGCCACTCTGCACTCCAGTCTGGGCGACAGAGTGAGACTCCAACTCAAAAAAAAATTCAGTTACTAGAATATTTGGTAAATATGATGTGTAAGATCAGGAAGTTTGGAAACATCTGCATGATTTATGGAATTCTGGGCTTTTCATTCACCTGCTTTTGTTGTGAGCCTTTCACTCATAATTAATATATTAATTAGTTCTCTCAGCAATCTGGAGGTAACTACTATTTGCCAGATACCATGCTAAGTAATAGGAATACAGAATCAAATGAGACGTGGCCCATGCCTTCAAGAAGCTTACAGGAGAATTGGGACGACCAATAAAGTAACTATCTCACTACAGTTAGTGTGAAAAACGTAGAAGCAGAGGCAGGCACAGGCACCATCGGCTCTTCCTGGATTCAGGGGAGACCTCTCAGGGAAGTCACCAAAGCTGCTTTAAAAGATGGCAAAGTCAGCCAGGCTCAGTGGCTCAGCCTGTGATTTCAGCTCTTTGGGAGGCCAAGGTGAGTGGATGACCTGAGCCCACAGGTTCGAGACCAGCCCGGGCAACTTAGCGAGACCTCGTCTCTGCAATAAATCAAGAACTAGCTGGGCATGGTAGCACGTGCCTGTTATTCCAGCTACTTGGAAGGCTGAAGTAGAAAGATTGCCAGAGCCCAGCAGGTCGAAGCAGGGGTGGTCGTGAGTGTGCCACTGCACTCCAGCCTGGGTGATGGAGTGACTCCAACTCAAAAAAAGAGACAAAAACATGGAAAAGTTCCACATCAGCAGACTTTTGTACTTATTTCAGGAACAACATTGTGCCAATCACAATGCAGATTGTGAAAATAATTTTTTTTTTTTTGAGTTGGAGTTTCACTCTGTCACCCAGACTAGAATTCAGTGGCATACTCACGGCCACTGCAGCCTCAGCCTGCTGGGCTCAAGCAACCCTTCCACCTCAGCCTTCCGAGTAGCTGGAACTACAGGCGCATACCACCACACCTGGCTAATTTTTTGATTTATTGTAGAGACGAGGTCTCGCCAAGTTGCCCAGGCTGGTCTTGAACCCCTGGACTGCAATAAATCAAGAACTAGCTGGGAGAAAATAACATGATACCTATCAGGCATCCTTCTAAACTTTAAATATGTTTTTATAAGCTACAACACTATAGAGATAATTTACAAAGGGAAAGCCTTCATCGAGAAGGAATTTAGATCGTGACTGTCACTTTTCTGCTGTTAATCTCTCACTATTTTATCTGTCGGACTTCATGATCCTGCCACACTCTGGCTTCCTTGTCCTCACATCTATGTGGCCAGATATTTTCCCATTTTTTTCAAGGACAAGACATAGATGCTTCTGCCTTCCCTGCCCCGCCTCCACACACAAAGGAATGAAGAATCACAGAGCACTAGTTTTTAATGCCATTAGACAATCGAGACAAAAATGGATGCCTATATTTGATATATTCCCCCTTCGAGAGGCCATCAGGCCTCTGTTTGAGTACCTCCAGTGATGGGGATCTTTCCACCACTAAAGAATCCTGTTACATCCTTTATACATATTGTGCAAAATCTCTCCAATGTTTATTAAGCAACATACAAGAAAGGGAGCGAGTTATATACCTGTTAAATGTCTACCGAGTGCACATTTTTATTCACTTTACTGAGTTCTCACTCCCAAGATGTTCTTCCCTTAAGCAAACAAACAATCAAGCAAGCAAAGAAAGAATAAACAAAATGTGGCGATCGGCGAGGGGTAAGGGAGATGGGTAGTGGCAGGTGGCAGAGGGTTATAAAAAGTTTAACTAAATGTCTTTCTCTGAAAGTGTTTCAGGTCTTCCCTATGTGCATTTATTATACACCAATGATGCAAGCAACACTCTACTTGACAAAGAAAAGAAAAAAAAAAGGAAGAAAAAGAGAAAGAAAGAAAAAACATCAGGAGGGAATTTAGACTGGCTTTTCTTTTCAACTTCAAAGCATCTACTAACTTGAGTTTAGGAAGAGATAGAGATGAAAAGATAATTTTAAAAGTTTAAAAAATAGAGATCAATCCAGTGAGTAATGGAAGTCATTTCAATTCTACAGTTTTTATGGAGTAGCCATTATGGGTTCATCATCCACTAATAAATTGGCTACAGAATTAGACCAGGAGCAGTGGCTCATGCCTGTAATCCCAGCACTTTGGGAGGTGGAGGCGAGAGGATTGCCTGAGTCCAGGGGTTCAAGACCAGCCTGGGCAACTTGGCGAGACCTCGTCTCTACAATAAATCAAAAAATTAGCCAGATGTGGTGGTGTGTGCCTGTAGTTTCAGCTACTCGGAAGGCTGAGGTGGAAGGGTTGCCTGAGCCCAGTAGGTTGATGCTGCAGTGGCCGTGAGTATGCCACTGCATTCTAACCTGGGTGACAGAGTGAAACTCCAACTAAAAAAAAAAAAATTGGCTACAGAATTAAAGCCAACCCAAAGGGGATATACTTCCTTCTATTTCACAGACCCTCCTCGTTCTATTCTGCCATGAACTTTTCCCCCTCGAGGACCAGCAAATCCAGCCAGGAATCAATTGTAGGCACTTCAAATTCAAAACAAAAAATAAATCTTGCCTTCTGATTTTCTTCTAGATAATATTTTCTATATTCTCAGAGTGGGATAGTATATAGTATAGACTACTGCTCTCTGTGTACAATTTCCATTGACTTAGATCTTATATTTGATTTTTAAATATGTTCTTCTTAAAACTGCTCTTAAAAGTTCTGCACAATTCTGATTTTTACCAAGCCAGCCCACTTCTTCTCTCAAACACACAAACATCAATCATCTACTGAATTCTAGCAAATTTTTCCAGAAGTGGAGAAAAAAATGCTCCAGTTTTTTCTTCTACCAAAGACAGGAAGCATTTCCTGGAGATTAATCACCATTTTGCCTTGCAAAATTGGGAAGGTTGGGAGAAATTAAGGTTGTATCATCCGATTTTGAACTGGGAGTTTTTGGAAATGGTCCTGCTGCCACTCGGATGACAGCAACAATGAGTCAAACTGTGGATGATCCAAACAGACGCTGTCACCCTTTAAAAGTTGGACTCCAGAGGGCAGACTCAGAAGGAGACAGAGAGCAAGCCTTTGGGACACTGCAGAGCTGAGCAGAGCCTGTGGAAATGGAGAGTCTGTTTGTCCTACTGCTGCTCTGTGTGGCGGTGTGCTCAGCCTACCCGTTGGATGGAGCTGCCAGGAGCCAGGACAGCAGCATGGACCTTGCTCAGGTAATTCACACTCCCCACGGGGCCAAGTGGGGAAACCTTCTCTGCTTCTCCAGTAGGCTCAAACCATTCCGTGTGTCTTAAGGCCCACAGACAATGGTTTGAGCTTACTGTGGACGAACAGTTCAGGGACAAAATGTGACAGTGTTGGGGGTGGAAAGGGTTTCGGTATCACAGCGTTTGGGCTTCTCCTTTTATGTAGAAGGAAACAAAGGCCAGAAGTGTTAGATGTTCTCTCAAGCTCACACAATCTCACGGCAGTAGCAGCTCTGGGGCTTGGGCAGTGAAGAGTGTATGAACCATGTCTCGCTTTGGGACTGCTTTAGATATTTTAATCCAATGTAATTTGAGCTAAGTATGTATATGACGAGTGTCATGTTTAGACAAAGGGATTGGTCCAACTTTTTTCTTAAGCCGGGCCCTTGTGAGACAGATAAAGTGAAAAGTTGAGGAGACTGAATAAATGTACTTAAAATATACACGTAATACGCATATGCCCAAAGAGGCTTATTTGTTCATTCTGTTCTTGTCCTTTAAGTGCACTGGATATTTCTCCCAATTTTTCACTTTACTTTCATTGCCTTGGTAGCAGACTAAATGGCAGAGAGACCTAGTTACAAAATTAAAGCAAAGGCAGGAAGAAGGCTCTACTTAAAGAACTAAATGAAATTTGACCATTTATTATTTCAGGAAACTAGAGAAATACTTTAAACAGACGAAGGAAAGTGAGCAATTGCAAACATGTACTGTCAATAACTATAGCTAAAAATCATAAGAATGGCCTAAAAACTCTATTTCTTCTGCTAGAAATACCTAGAAAACTACTACAACCTTGCAAAAGACGCGAAACAGTTTGTTAGAGAAAGGGACAGTGGTCCTGTTGTCAGAAAAATCCGAGAAATGCAGAAGTTCCTTGGGCTGAAGGTGACGGGGAAGCTGGACTCCAAGACTCTGGAGGTGATGCATAAGCCTAGGTGTGGGGTTCCTGACGTTGGTCACTTCAGCACCTTTCCTGGCGTGCCAAAGTGGACAAAAACCCACCTCACCTACAGGTAATGGGCCCAAAGAGGTTTTCACGTCATTGGATTCTTATCAGCTGTATCACAGGAGAAAATCATATCTCCTCCATTTTTTCTCCCACAGGATTGTGAATTATACACCGGATTTGCCAAAAGATGCTGTTGATTCCGCCATCGAGAAAGCTCTGAAAGTCTGGGAGGAGGTGACGCCGCTCACATTCTCCAGACTGTATGAAGGAGAGGCTGACATAAAGATCTCTTTTGCAGTCAGAGGTAAAAAACAAAAACAAAGCAAAGCAAAACAACACACGAAATGCATCTGTTTATCTATCCGGTGTTGTTTTATTAGCAAAGGCTCAAAAGAGATCCTCATGCTCTATCTTTCCAATAAAAATATATTTTTTTCCTATTAGAACATGGAGACTTTGTCCCTTTTGATGGACCTGGAAACGTTTTGGCTCATGCCTACGCACCTGGACCGGGGATTAACGGAGACGCCCACTTTGATGACGATGAGAAATGGACGATGGATACAGCAGGTTAGACATCTCTCGAAATGGTTTTGGTGTTCATTTCTCCTCATATTTAGAACATTCTTAACACCCAAGAATGCTCAAGAAATGGGATGTTCTGGATTTTCCAGTGGATCAGGTCATACGCATAATATATTTTTGTGTTCATCATTGCCAAAAACATTTTCAGATGCCTATGAAGTTTATTTCCTGTCTTGGTGAGCACAGTGTAAGAAACATCATTAAGTAATTCTTTAATGATGGTGAACCTTGTGTGATCTAAGAGCCGTCATTACAAACCATTTCTCATTGTATCAAAATGCCGACACTCGGGGGATCGTGTTATTATTACATTGAATCTATACTTGAATGTGTCCTAATCACTGCTTATGTAATTTCCACCATTCACTGCTTTACTCTTCAAAACAGAAATCAGAATTAAATCTCAGACACTGAGGTTCTGTTTTTGCTTCTTTCTGGTTAAGGTAATATTTTATTACCTCTAGAGTAACTTGTTCTGAAGGAAAGGCCTTACCCCCAAATACAATGTCCAAACTGTTTAGGTAGAAGAATGTTTCTCAGTTCATCACTGCATATTTGGGGAATGGTTTCCAAAGTTTTCAAAAGAAAAATATCAGCTGAAATAAATAGTACTACTTCTGAAACTTAATTGGGATTTATAATGAAAATGTAAATCTCTGTAGAAAGTACGAATGTGAGTTTAGTGCTGGGTAAAATTCTTGATTTGGTTGAAGTAACCTCCTGCAAAGGAATGTTCCTAGGATCACTAGTTACAAAAATAATTCTTGCAAAAGTAAAGTAGATTTACTTGTTATGTCGATCATAATTATCCAGTGTCTTCCAATTTCAACATTATGGCTTATTGTTAATAATATGAAGGAAAGAATTCTGAATACAGCTAGTGTTTGTGTCCAAAATCTCTTTTTTTGAAAATGCTAGACATGAGTGGGCATGTTATGTTTTAAACCAATTTTGCAAATCCTATGATGTCTATCATTATTTGTTGTTTTTAGGCTCAAAATGTACTTAATGATGATAAGGCTGAAAAAATATGAAGGCAATATTCCACTGGAAAATAACAGGAGTATGGTTGTGAAGGGATTTCAGAATTGAGATGAATACAGTTTTATTTCCTGAGATTACAACTGGCAAATGTTAATATAGTAAAACAGTGTTTAGCTTTGCATTGACTAATGAAGAGACATATTTATGGATTTGCTAAACAAGTGGGTTCATTCCATTCTTGAGTACAAGGAAAAGGCACCTGGTTCTCCTGGCATTAAGAAGTTTCTGAGACTGGGGCCTGAGAGGGGCAGGTGGACATGACTGGGTGCTTTATCTCAAAGATTAATTTCAAGTATGAGTCTTGAAATATGATGCTGGGTGGGACACAGTGTGTAACTCTATGGGTTCTTTTGACTCAGCTGCAGAAAAGGATTTCAGAGCAAGTCCCAAGTATAGCTTAATCCAGTTTATTAGAAAAAGAGACATGCCCAAAGGTTATGGATGCCTTAAAAGATGCATGCTTGCCTTTGACAAGAAGGTTTATAACCATGATTAAGCAAAATAAGAGCAGTGGGCTGCAGGTATCTGGTTATCGGTTTTGATTACTCTCTCTCAAACTTCTAAGGTCACGAGGACCTTCTGCATAATCAAAGCTATTGCCTAACTAGATTTGGGCTTTTTTAAGAACACCGTGTCTGTGTTCTGGGTAATTCCTCACTGTTTCTGTGATTTAGTGCACTGATAGATGCCCATTCCAGCCTGCAAGGTGGTCAGGTCCGGAGTGCCTGGTCAATCAGGTAAAAGTTGTGTCTGAACACTGAAAGATGTCTGAACACTTACTCTATCTGAGTTTAAACCTGTCTACAAGAAACTTATCTATGTCTAACCTGCACTGAACAACTTGCCTCAAAATACACTTAGTTTTCTACTAAGCGTGTAAGCAATCTATTGCTCAATTAACCAACAAAGGAGGTGAAAAAAGAGTCCTGTGTGTTTCCAGGAAATAAAAACAAATACAATGCACAAATGACCTATAGAATGAACATGTACTTAAAGAATAAGCACTAATGTTTATGATGTCTTAAATAGGGACCAATTTATTCCTCGTTGCTGCCCATGAACTTGGCCACTCCCTGGGTCTGTTTCACTCTACCAACATGGAAGCATTGATGTACCCACTCTACAGCTCATTCAAAGACCTGGCCCGGTTCCGTCTTTCTCAGGATGATGTGGATGGCATTCAGTCCCTCTATGGTGAGTGATGCTGGAAAAATTAACCACTGTAGCTTTGCAAGGATGCTCTTTGGAAAAGCTTCAAAATGCTACACAGAGCATTTGTGACTTAGCTCAAAGCACCTTGAGAATGTTGGGAAACAGGTACAATGACAGACACATCACATTTCCCCTAATGTTTGCATCCCCCAATCTGTCCCCTATAGGACCGCCCCCTGCCTCCCCTGAGGACCCCCTGGTGCCCACGGAATCTGTCCCTCCAGGACCTGAGACACCAGCCATGTGCGATCCTGCTTTGTCCTTTGATGCTGTCACCACGCTGAGGGGAGAAATTCTGTTCTTTAAAGACAGGTCAGACCTATCTATTGTTTTGTTTTGATCTACAATACTTAGAAAGGAAAACAAACAAACTTAGTATAGTTTTTTTTGTGAGTTGGAGTCTGAATCCATCACCCACACTGAAGTGCAGTGGCACACTCACGGCCACCACAGCTTCGACCTGCTGGGCTCACGCGATCCTTCCGCCTCAGCCTTCCAATTAGCTGGAACTACCATGCCCGGTT